CACTAATAAGTATCTAATATGTATTGAAGTAGATTAAAATAAATGCAAAATATGTAGCAGAATAAAATTCATAAATAACTAATTAAAATTGGTTTTTTTCCCACTTATAAGATTCATTCGGTTATAAGACTCACTTTGAGCTAAGTGAATATAAGCGGGCAAGCGGCATCCATTCTATTTTCAATTTTTTTTATACATATTTTTTCCCTTATAAATCTGAACCGAATATTTAACCGAGTTTTATGTCTGTGCTAATTTTATAGAGCATTTTACACTTTACATCGGATAATTTGGTCTAACTATAAAAACCTGATCATTTTTTTTTTGTCCAATTATTCTAATTTTAAGTAGAGAATGATTTTGAAATGTATTTTAAATTCTCAATTTTTTATTTTTTATTTTATGTGATTAAAATTAGAATATAAAATATATAGACCAAATTATACAAACTAAAATAAGCAATGGAAATTAGTATTTGATTTTAAATATGGTCGTACAGATACTTTGTTACTTTGACAATGTATTTAAAATACTTTGTTCAAGTGGTTTTTTTTTTAGGTACCTATTTAAAATGCGTATTTGATTATTTGGAAAATATTAGAATACTTTTACTCAAATACTTTTCAAGACCGACCGACTGTCAGACAACACTCTGAATAGGTTTGTGGTACAGAATGGTTGCAATAGCTTAAAATGAATACAATTATTTTGAAAATGTCATTGTAAAGAGATATATATATTATATAATACACGAAAAAATAATGTTATAGACAGTTGTCAATATAATATTTATCAATAGTATTTAGCAAACTAAGATATTAGTATTGATCATGCATGTGAATTTTGATGATGAGTTGAAATGACATAAAATGTTTTATATAAACCTCCACACATTTAGGCATGGTTGTACGACGGTGGTAGTACTGGCTAAGTGTGTTTTTATAGCGATTGTTTATATATTTGAATAATTTGTACATTTTCAGGTATATATTATTCTTCCCGTTATAAAATGCGTTAGACTTTTCATTTTTAAGTATTTTATTTTTAATAATTTTAACTTTTTTAATAATTAATATTTCATATGTGACGACTAAGTCATGAACGTGGAGTGAGTCGAAATGTCACAAGACCAAGACCAAAGTCGTTGGTATCCCGAGTTGTATCTTATATCACACTGTATAGGAGTTACAAAATAATGATGATAATAACAACGCATGTGGGATGGTAGTTATTAAATATTCATACAATTTGTTTGAAAAAGTACGGTATTGTGAAAAAAGCTTCAAAAATATATTGAAACAAAAAAAAAACTATTACAACTTGGCATTTCAGCTTCTAAGTCGCGATTGTGAATTGGGTCGAAATATCACACATCAACCTAACCTAACCTGACGAGATTATTTCCGAAGTATAAATATAAATCTATATGAATCTCATAATACCACTTTTTAATATTACTGTTTCTTTTGTTTTACGTTGACATGTTTTTTACCGCTGATCACGAACGATGTAACGTTTCTCTTAAGTACCTATAATATGTTTTTATTTTTGTGATACTGATGATGTTTGTATATACTTTTTTATTCAGTTCTTATTATGTTATTGGAGATAAACAAACTAACTTAAGACATAATATATTTTTTTAGCGAATGAATGAAAACATAATGATTAAAAAATTAGAATTATATTATTTTAAAAATTATGGTTAAGTACATACAAAATTTATAATGTCTTATAAATATGTTATAATTGTTTATAATAATGTAATTTAAATTTTGTATGAAAAAAAATTGTAAGTTTTAGGTTTGTTTTGATGTTCTAATAATCCAGAAATAACAGAATATAAAATAAAATAACGCTCGATTGTGGATCAAAATTATTACCTCGGTGATGAACACCTCGCCTTAACACGTCTAGAGCCTCTGGAAACTATTTCTTTGTTGGTGGTTTAACTACAAATAATTATATTTGCGATAAATGTAAAACGCTATACAATTTGTTATACATACACACATTATAAAACATGAATCAAAACCAGCAATAACCAACAAAAATATATAATTTTTGAAGGTGATTTAATTGCATCATTTCATTATAAAGCACCATTATTTAAATACTCTAATTTTGGAGTGATAAATCGATATTCTTCATTTTTTTCGGGAATATTATCATATTGTAATAATATATATTTTTTACATAGGCCATGTAAATAAAAATTACCCTTTGCTATTACCCTTTGCTAACCTAACCTTTGGTTTCTAACTTTTATATTACATTCTACTATAGGGTCAGTGGGATTACATCTTAAATTATAATATGCACTTTTCAATCAGTAAAATACATTATGTATTCAATTATTATATAAAAAGTACTTATGTAAATATTTTTTGTGTTATCTTAAATCCAAAATAATAGTTTTTCTTCTAGATATTATACACGTTCTGTAGTTCTGTTAATAATATTTAACTACTCTTTATTATTTTAAATCCAGATAATTTATAGTCAATATGTTAAATTCCGGTAATTTGCGGTCCGGAATTTCGTTTTCAATACATTTTATACTCCACAAATATAAGGTTCAATATATTCCAATATGTTCCCATTTTATAATACTGTAATGTTATAGGGCGAGATGTCATACATTCTGTGGTTTTTTTTTTAAATTGGCTTCACGGAATTTTGCTTTCCGGGCGTTTTACGGTCAGGTTTATATTTTAATTCCGGTAAAATTACGTTCATTCATATACATACCTTTATTTCGTTATTACGTTCCGTAAACTAAAATTTCATAACGTTATGTATTCCAAACATATTATAATCTAGTATAATTTTGCAGTCCAGAATTTAATTTTCCGATTTAATATTGTTCATACATTTTAAAGTTATAAACAAATTACAATCAATATGTTTAAATTCCATTGATTTTACGATCTAGAATTTTAATTCAGTGCATTTTACTCTCAATAAATATCTATTTCAATTAGTTTTACGTTTTTGCCATTTTATAATAAGGGTAGGTATGTTACAGTCTGTAATTTCATCATTCCTGTGGTTTTTTTCCGGGATTTTCAGGCCTCCAGAAGACAAAAGACAAAATTTAAAACATGTTAACTATAATATGTCACTATTAAGTACATCATTTTTAGACTTAAACATTTTAAAATTATTTTTTGTTGAAAATAAAAGTATGTTTTCTCATTTTATAATTTAAAAATTGTGTGTTTATTATTTTATAATGAAACCCACGTTTAGAAAATGGTGAGATAAAATAAAGTTATGGTTAACAACTTATACGTCATCTATATCTATAATAAAAATCTAAAATTATTTCAGATTTTAAACTAAGATAGGTTGGCTAACCTATGGAAGAATATTATATCTATAATTTTTGGTTTCTAATCTTAAATAGTGCAATCAGATGCTTATTTAATATACAAATTGGTGATACATGATAGAGTTATACAGTTGTTTTGTTTAAATATATATAAGTTACGAGCATGTTGCCCGTAACATATACATATTTCACTTGTAATCTAACCTAACCTATATCGAACAGGTACATCTCTAACTTTTGAAAAGATGACTGTTCATTGTGTTAACATATATATTTAGTGAACGACACTCGTTTCTTTGAAATAAAGCGGAGACGTGAGCAAAAGTTCGAAACTCATATTTTTATAAAATTTCAACATATATTAATTTTATTTTTTTAATTTATTGATTTATTTGTTTTTATGAAAATGTCGAAAGGTTGATCATGTTGCTCCGTTGTAATTTATAATATACGTATACTGTTAGCGAAAAGTTAGAGATGGTAGGTATATCAGTCTATGATATTTATAATTTATATTAGTTATTATTAATACGGTAGCAGGTAAGTTGAATTAAAATTATTCATACATTTGTAATATAATATAATTTTTTATAAACAGAACAATTGATTACCTACTTGAATGAACTGAATAAAAATATTTTTTACACATTTGTTATTATTAATATTATTATAAATAACTTATCAATATTAACTTGTTATCATATACCTAATATCTCATCGTCGGATGGTAAATGAACCACCACAAGTTTTAAAATTTCGCATCCTGGTGGGTCTGGTGGTTAGTGGTTGTAATGGAGGGTTGAGCGCGCGAGTTTGCAACCACCTGCAGACAGCTGCACTGCAATATCACGTCGACAAACGATAAAACAGTTTCGACCAAAAAACATGTTGTAACCCCTACCCCCCGACCAACAACCAGTGTTTCAGTGGAGACAGATATACGTACGTCGTACATAATATTATTATGACCGATGTTCGAAATGCTGACGTTGGGGGCGGTAGTGTTTTCCACTCAAAACTACACCTACGGCTGTTCACACCGAGGTACCTCTCACCAGTCATCTTAGTGAACAGGCGGCGGGTGTTACTGTTTTCTTCTGTAATATAAGGATAGCTTCATTTCGTACTGCCGTAGGCGTCTACATCATCGATACCAAACATAGTTTCGTTTTTCTAAGTTTCTTCTTTCCCGTTCAACGCACGTAAGTCATATTTATACATTAATTGCAATAACATTTTTATTTATTCATTTATTTTTGATATAAAATGTATATGCTTATAAACTACGTTTACTATACACAATGGATAAAGCCACATCCTATAGATAACATATTAGTTGCTGAAGTCAAAAATAATAATCAATGTGTATTCAGAATATATAATTGAGTTGGCACTGTTTTGAAAAATATTGATAGCAGGTACCAAATAACAAATGTGTGTACCTATGTCACAGTGCCAGGTTAACGAATATGCCGCCTGGGGCAGATTTTAAAATGCCGCCCTTTACAAACCTGTACCCATTATAAAAAAAATAACGTATATAACAACAGTGTTAAAATTGTTTAACTTATATATATTAATAATATTTATATATTCGTAAAATCAGTAGTTTTATTATCATAGAACTATTAGTACTAAGTTGTAACATTTAAATACAAGTTGAAATTTACAACTTTTGTCTAGCTTTCTGTGCAGCAAATTCTTTAACAAAATCATTCCAATCCGTACTTTGTAGGACGCAATTCTCAATGTTCATTAGAGCCAACGATGACATCTTTTCAACAGATAATGATGTTCTTTGGTAGTTCTTCACTCTCTTTAAAACGGAGAATGATCTCTCTCCGCTACCGTTTGAGCATGGTATGGACACAAACAGTTTTAAAGCTATTTCCACATTAGGAAATGAATCGTTTAACTTTGATGTTGTTAATGCTTCAAGCAAACTGTGCATAGATGATTTTTCTTCTGCAGAAAAATTTTTCACTATAGTTTTAAATTGAATGATCTCATTCTCGAGGTCAGGTTCTAAATTTTCACTATGGATAGCTACTAATTGTTTTGATTTTTTGCGTACAATTTCATTGTCAATTTCCTTCTTATTAAAAAAAACCCAAATATCTTATTTATCTCAATATATGCCATTTTTCTTTCATTTAAACATAAAATAATTGTGTCACAAATTGGTAAAAATGTTTCATTTTTAATTTTCTCTTGTCCGTGAAATATTGTGTTTTGAACATCGAGGTCATCATGAAAACATTTTTTTCGTTTATTTCTTTATTCTTCAAAAGAAAAGATTTCATGCCCACTAATTTGCTTTGCTTCAACTAATATATTATCGAATCTATTTCTTATATTTTGTACATACATTTCTAGAGATTTATACAATTTCACAACACAAGATAAATCAATATTAACACGTTGTAAATTTTTACTTGTAAATGAGAACTCGTGCGTGTCAATTTTTTTATACATGGATCCTGCTTCATGTCTTATAGCAGCTTTCTGATCCAAATTCAAAGCTATAGATTTCAATGAATTTAACACTCCTTTAAACCCAATTTTCAAACTCTTACAAACACTAAATCTTGATGACCATCTCGTTGGGCATACGTTTTTTATAAACATTGAGTTTGGTATATTTTTCAAATTTATTAAAAGTTGTTCCCACCGCCATGTAGATGCAGAAAAAAATACATAGATATTTTATTCTGTAAAATAAAAACATAAAACATCATTCTTAAAATATGTAGATATGATTGAATACATTTATCGGCAAATCAAAACCGAAAAAAAACAAATAAAAACTTACTTTCTGCAGATTAGCAAACTATTTAACTGTTTAATAACAATATTTGATTAATGTCAAAATTAAAAAAAAATATTTTAAATAATCAAAGTAATAATAAGGTTATTATGGCATAAATTAAAAAAAAAAACTTTAAAACATTGGATTTTGATAATTGGATACAAGTATACAACAGTTAATACAAATTATTGCATAATATTATGTTAAATAATGCTGATCCACCGTTTATATAAAAAAGTCAATAGAAAATGTAATCTAATGAAATATAATCGTAGTCTGAAGTATTTAAAATTAGTAATAAATTCGTTTTAAAAACCTTAGCATAAATATTAATCGCGACTATTCATATTTTATATTCTTCATTATTCTTTAATAAATAGGTAAGTTAACACTACAATATAACATTATAAAATACGTAAGTTAAGCTTTTTGAATAAACTTTGAATTTTAGGCGTCTGAGGAATAATTAGTAAGTCTTTTTTTTTTCCTCAGCTCTTTTTCGAAATTCAGCACCACTTAACTTAATGCTTTTTCTACTCATATTGATTGATGAAAAACTGCTGTTAGGAAATATTAATCCCGCTTTTTTAATTTTAAATAAATATGACTTGACAGTTGACGAGACTACGAGTACGTTTTACTACTACGAGACTCGAAAGACGAACAGAACAACAAATAACCTAACCAATAATATAGCCATACGGGTATGAAACAAACACGACTATGTTTACGTTTACTGCTGTAAATATAAAAAATACTAGTATTTAAATCAATGATAATATGTAAATATAACATAATTAAAACATAATATTATTGTGTACAAAATTTCTACTCGAAAATAATACGATAATATGAACAAAAATAGAAATGCGTCGATGCGTTGCTGTCGGTCCGAGGGCTATAATAATAATATGGTCTTTCTATTTTACTAATAATACGCTGAACGCTCTCGTAATAATTCCATGGTAGGCGATTCGATATAAATATCTAATATAATATTACTGTTATTACTTGTTATACACATTTTTCAATGATTAATAATTCTTCTTAAAAATTAAAATACATAAGAAAAATTCAAAACTTTCGTTTTCACCATTAAGAATTTGCCACCCGGGGCAACTGCCCTCTTTGTATTTTTGAAGTACTTTTAAGTTTAAACTATAGATTAAGTAAATATTATGATTTTTATTCAATTACCTACCTGATGTAATATAACTATACATAATATGCCTGTATTCACTAAGTATATAGTTTACATGCTATTATATCATACAAATATTGATTTATTACCAAAAATATAATGAGCTTAAAACGACTATAATATTACAAATGTTCACATTTATTTATTTTTTTTAAATATGTTTGTTGCATTTTATTTTTTATTATTCTGTTCCAGTTGTATACAAAATAAATTAATCAACACAAATTATGGGAATCAAATTTGAAGGTTTCGAAAAATGTTTCAAAATGTCCATTGATAGTACTGATTCTAATTCACTAGAGTAAGTTGCAGTTTATTATAGGTACTATGTTTTACATTATCTAACATAATAATTGTAAATGTTTTTTTTAGACATTTACGAGACGCCAATGATAAACGTAAACAACTAGATGTTAAAATTGCAAAAGGCACAGTAACTAGACTTGATATGATGAAACAATTAACAATCGAATTGGAAATATTAGACACATTACTCAAAACTTCTAATGTAAGATTGTGCTTATTATACAAGATGTAATAGAAAGATCTGACAAAAATAAAAATTGATACTAGTTAAACGAATCACGAAAATAGTGAAAATTATATCGATTATAAATAACATAGAAATATACTCATACCAGAAAATTGAAGAAAATTAAAAAAAATAATATTAAAAAAAACATTATTCGGCATGTTTTCAATGACTTTATTCCAAAAAAATATTGATATTTTAGAAAATTCTAACTAATAAACCACTTGGATATAAATGTTATACCATCAAAATTGTTCTTATTATCAGATTTACAAATTGTCTAGATTGAAATTTGTATATTAAATTTTTAGATTCAGTTTCAAAAAATAAAAATGAAAAAATTTATAGAATAAAGTATGTAGAGCAAATGTTCATACATAATATTTTTAAAAAAAAATGTTTAAAATATTGTTTATAACAAAAATTATTACATTAGTCAATTCTTTTTAGTACACATCCCTGTATTAAAACTGGATGGTTTTTTAAATTTTTTTACTAATTTAGATTAAAATGAGAGCAAATGAATGCTGTGCAATAATCAATAATGTTATTTCAACTTTAACCAAACGCATCAACAACATGTGGAATACTATATTTCTACTTTTTGTCATCAATGATGGAATTGAACCAGAATTCATTAATATTACAAGTGACTATGTGAGTATATATTTTATTCAATACAGTTTAATACCTATTTAACTTCATATCTTTATCTATTCAATGTTTCATCATCTATAACTTTCTTTATGAGTAGTGGATTTAGAACAAGCTATCTGGGGATTCCAACTTGGAGTGCCATAGTTTAGTATTTTTATCATGACCAGATAAAATATGCAGTAAAAAACTATTATATGTATGCAAACATAAAAGACCTGAAAAATGCACTAAAAATTAAATTTTTTTTTTATTTGGGTTATTATTTCATTTATTTTCAAGATACAAGTATCCTATCAAATAATGACAGGTTTTATGGTGGAAGTGGTAATATTGTCAATTGTTCCTTGTTATTTTGTATTTGCTATGGTGCTTTCAGGAATACTTTTATCGCAACGGAAATAATTTTTTTTTACTCCACAAAACTCGTTAAGAATATTTTTAGTAGTCGTGAATAGTGTACTGCCCTTCTTAGCCGAAAGGCATAAAGTGACAATGTGATACTTTTGAGAAAAATTAGTTTTTCTAAACTATCTTTTTATTTTTATCCCATTGTCAAAATTATGTAATAAATTAATGGTTCTTAAATAAATTGTGATGTAAAAACTGAAATCACTCATTATAAAACTGTACTGTACCCATAAATACTTCATGCCCCATGTACGTATTTTTTCCTCAGGATTATCAGTACATTGAGTCTATGTTTCCCGGGGTTAAAAGCAGTATGGGCATATACTTACTTTTTGCTTAGGAATACATGTGCGAAATTCTGTCTCATAAACATGCCAATGATATATTCTGTTGAGGATATGCAAAATTATTATTTAGGGACTAATAATATTATTAAGATATGCATGGGATGTTATCATCCTATTAAGCAATTTAAAAAAAAATTAATCTATAAGAAGTTACAGTATAAAGTCTATGAAATTACCTAGTGCTGTGTCCATAAAACATTATAATATTATAACTTACATACTATGCACATCTTAAAATAACTATTTTATGTTATTTTTCAATATTTCTATAGTGTGCGTATATACACATAATACACATCCATAAGATATTAATTCATACTTATTCAACATTTCAATAATGTTAATGTAAGGTCATATAAATTCTCTTAATTTAAAAATTAATATCTATAATATAGGTTTCTAATTAAAACAAATACGATACACAATTTTTAAAACCAATTATTAATAATTTTTTTATAATTTTTTTAATCGTAGACATTTTAGAATTATTCTAAAATCACCTTATAATTATATTAAAATGTATAAATGATTAAGATTTTTTTAATGTCTGAACCTCTATGCTTGGAATTATTGGCATTTATTACCATGGTAACTTTATCAACATTAGTTATACATGTCGATTGTGGTTTGATGTTAGAGGTTATCAATAAACAAATTGAAACAATAATTTGTTATACTAAGGACACTTCAAAAAGAGTATATTAAATTAAAATGTTTACCTTTTTAATTAATTTTTTTAAAAGCCCATAAATGATTTGTAAGCAACATAAATTATGTTGAATTATTTAATTATTTAAAGGAAATATAATTTTATTATTTAATAAAATGATTAAACCAATATAATAGGTACCCAACTACCTTAATAACTATTTTCTCTGTTAGAATTTGATTTTTGAATTGCCAATTTCAAAAGCTTTTCACTACGCCACATGTTGAGGAGTTTTTGCTGTAGTTCTTTGTTGGATTTTGTATGTTATCACATAAACTTGATGAACTTACTCATAATATAATATTATGCTTATGATAACGTATTGAGTTTATTAAATTGTATTAAATATTTAAATCAAAATTTGTGATGATATAACATAATAAATAATAATAATATAATACAATGTACAATATTTATAAATTGCCAAATCTAAACACCGTTTATAATATGACAAACCAAAAATGATAAGTAGGCTTGTACAACTATAATATGCTTCCCAGATTAAAAAAAAAATAACATTGATGGATTGTATTACTATAATTATTATGGCCATGGTAAACCTGACAGTATAAACTCTTCTCCTTTCTACGACAATAATAAATGTTTAGTGTCAGTTACAGCGGTTATTTTTCTAATAAATACTTAGTGAAAATACCGTATGTGAGTTATACTAAACAAAATTACTTTACAATGTGATCAGTTACTGCCTTTTTGCTTAGTATCCCTAATATATTTTAAAAATACATAATGTATTATTAGATTTATTATAAAATCTATTGAAAATACCGCATTTTTGATAAGGTTAACATAAAAAATATTTTGATATAATAAACTCATGTTTCACATTTTGTCGCTTACTGCCATTTGGCTAAGGAGGGCAGTATAAATAAAGCAAGTTATGTGGATAAAATTTGGATTGAAAATTTTGAGGACTCTTTTGAATATCTCAAGTAAAGATATAGGTACTATAAAGAACAGCTGTTTTATCTCTTCCGTTCAGATTTGTTTCCACACATTCGATCAAACTTACCATGCAAAAAAAAAACATTTATGTATGCATAATTGGTAGAAAAAGGCGATTATATGAATTTTTGTATGCAGATAAGTATGGGCCATATCATTATATGCGGCCAAATTATAATAATAAAAATAAATAGACAAACCATTTTTATTTAATAAGGATTGAAAATGTCATTTTTAAGTATTGAATGTTGTTATTTTAAATAAATTTATAAGTAGTACAACAATTACTAAAAATTAAACAAATTAGCTATGAATATTAGCATTCAATAATTTAATTTCTATGTACAATTAACCTCCACATCCTTTTATAGGCTCCAACACTATTAATTTCTCGGTTATCAATTCAATTTGTTTAATTTGGAGTATTTAAAAATAAACTATGCAATATACAATTTGCTTACGCTATCATTTCATCAAGTACACTTCATCCTCTCCTCGCAAAGACACATGTAGTTGGAAGATCACTACACTATTAATGTATGAATAAACAATGTATTAGAAATTATAATCGTTATTTGAAGTAAAGTTTGTTTTGCTTCTACAATTATGTATGTATAAAAAAGTCAAAAAAATTAATTTAAATATTAACACCATTAAAACGTATATACTTAATAATGAAAACAAAATGCACAAACGATTTTTAACATAATTTGCGACTATAATTCTAAGTACATTTTTCAATTTTTGTTTTATATATTTTCTTATAATATACTTAATCACTTTTAGAAGTGACTTAAGCGGTGCCCAGATTTTTTTTCTGTCGCAGTCAGGTTATACTTGTTTGTCTTTCCCATCGAGTTTCCCATTCGAATACCTGCAGTCAAGTAAAAGTTTGGCTATTGAATAAAAAACAAAAAAATAATACTTTTTAATGGAAATAAAGTATATTATATTCTTCAAAATAATTTTTAGTACCAAAATTGTGTTTGAACAAAGAAATAAAGTGCCTTAAACGTGGATGTCCTTAAGATATCGTATATAAATACTACAACAAAAATATCAAAAGCAACTCTACTTTTCAAAATATTGGTACAATAAAAAGTATATCACAAAATCGAAAGAGAAAATGAGTGTTCTTTTTGAAAATAATAGTCTTAGTATTTTTATTTATAGATATAAATTTCTATTAATAATTCATGTTTAAAGACACTAAAAATGTTGATGATTTAAAGATTGCTTTCTTATATTGTACTAACAGTAGGCACATAACAGAAAAAATGTATTCCAGTAAAAGACCTACTTTTTACTTAATAACTTTTATTATAAAATATGTGGTGTATAAAATATGTAATTATTTGTTTTCAGAAAATAAAATCTAACTGCGAGAACTGCAGTAGTTGTAATACAATATACAAAAGTATCATGAGCAACATAAAGGTGAGTTACAATTTACACATATTATAAAAACTAAATAGGTAATAAATAAATTAAATAGGTACAAATAACAAACCGTTGGTAAATTTTCCCTTATTTGTAGATAATATCAACTCAAGAAGATAAACTTTTTAATTTTTCCTCGTCTGACTTTATCAAAATTCTTCAAACAACAGTGTTTGTCGATAAGACATTGATGATAAAAGAATTATTTGAAAATAAGAAAATCAAAGGAACAGCAATCACGGCTCCCCGGAAGTATGGAAAATCAACAAATTTAAGTATGCTTAAATACTTCTTGGAAATTCAGGTGGACTCTCTAGGAAAACCACTTACAAAGGCAAACGCTGACAACCCAATTACAGATACAAGTAATTACAAATTATTCAAAGGACTTAAAATAAGCAAAGAAGCTAATATAATGAACAAACATTTTGGAAAATACCCAGTTTTGTATGCAAATTTTAAAATAGAAAAGTGTATCGAATCGTATGCCTGTGTTGTTGAAGGATGTAAAGAAGTAATTCACAAATCCTTTCTGTTACATAATTATTTAAGAAGAAGTTCTAAATTGAACCTTCAACAGAGAACATTATGTATGTTATGGTGCAATAATGAAAATTACAAAAACATTACGAATATAGATGAAATTATAATTGGTTTTAGTTCATTGATTAAATGTTTAACAAAGCATTTTAACAAACCATGTTTTATTCTAATTGACGACATCGATTTTTTTATAGTATCAGTTTCAAAAACAGAGACTATATCGAAAGGATACGGTTGTATTGTGGGTTTTTTGAGGGAATGTTTATCATTTTTAAATAACAAAGAATTAATTGTTAGGGCATTTATAACTGGAAAATATATTTATGCTATTAATGCCATAGTGCCTTGGAGTATAGAAATACGACCGTTTTTTACATTGCATGAGTTCACTGATTATTATGGATTGACTATAAATGAGTTGGAATATCTTTTCAAAAAAAAGGAATTTAATGCTTTGACCGTGACAATAAAAGAAGTTAAAGCTTATTATGGTGCCTATGTGAAATTTGATAAATGTTCTGAAGCAAAGAAGGAAATATATTGCATGTGGTCAATTTTAAATGTTTTAAAATGTAAAGCACTTGACAACTATTGGCGAGAATTTGGAAATTTTTTTTGTAACTTTTCAAATCAATCCATTAAAAATACAATACAAAAATTATTGATTGACGAAAATCTGTCTGTTACATTATATGATAGAACAATTTCAAGACTGCATCCGGTTTATCCTCTACTTATTGCAGAGTCTGGAACTGCATGTACGAAATCTTTAAATTATTTTTTAAATGTGTTATTGGACTTGGGTTATATAACTTGTGTTTCAGCGCAAACACCAATTACAGACTCATTTAGTCATACAGATTTAGTATCATTTGTAAAAATACCAAATAAGGAAGTTAGACAAGATATTGAAAATAAATTATCACTGCTCTCTTAAAAATCATACTTTGTTATTTAATCTAATAATTTAGGTACCTATATTATGTCAATTTCTATTTTTGATATTATCTCTAAGATAAACGATAAAAACCAACTAGCCAAGTATGAAGATTTTGTTTTTATTCCTAATAGCAAAATTGAATATTTTTAAGCCACTAATTATTGTCATGGGATGTTTTAATTTCAACAATTTTTATATGTATTACAAATTTTTTCTTGTTTACAATTAAAATATGTTTCATTTTAATATTCTAATACTAATTATTGAAAATGTTCACATAAAAATAACCCTATCATGCCCATCGGAAATTTCTAATTGTTAAAAAAAAAATATTTTTACATTATTATTGTGAATCGTGGATAAAATTTGTTTTTGTATACATATATTATGTATAATTGTATATTAGTATATACTATATTATAATAAAATGTTAAATGAATACTTATTTATACATTTAATTTTAAGTGCTTATTGTAATACCTAATATATTGAATGTATGGAAAACTATGTTGTTTTTTGTAAACAAATAGGTTCATGTTATTTCATAATAATAAATTACTTCTACATTTATTTATGCTAAATTAATTTTAATTTTAATAGATTAAATATAAATGTACAATTAAAAATAAATGGTTTGTCTCCTAAAAGTTGTAAGAAGAAAGAAAAGTTCAAAAAAACAATAGGTACAGTATCCATTTTGTTATTTAAATGTTAAAACAAAATAAAAAGCTTAAACTGAAAGTTATCGTAAAGCACAAATTAAAAATATGTGAATGGTAAGTTTGTTGGGTTGACAAATGATTTTGTATTCAAATAAAAGCTTTGAAAAATATTTATATTATAACTGTTTTATTCATTGTTGTCACTATTCATAAAATATATCTCAATTACAAAATCATGTAATAAAACTAATATACATAAATAACATTTGTTTTATTAATCATTATCATAGGCCAAAACACCCTATGGCTTAATCATATAGCACATATATTATTCATAAATATACATACCTAAATTTTAGATAGTACTTTTGAACAAAATTTGAAAATGATTTAATAATTCAATATGTCTACTATTACTGTAGTTGAAAGTTTCCATATAATATTTTAATTCATAGTTATTATATTTGTTATACTTAAGATACCTATAATTATATTTTATTATTGCTATTATGTTCAGGGATGGATTTAGGGGGGGGGGGCACGGGGCCCAGTCCCCGAGGCCCCCACAAGATTCAGTTAATAAGGGGCCTCCACAAAATAATTACCATTTTTTTTTTTTAAGTAAACGAATCACTATATTAGGATTGGTAATTTTCTTCTATTACTATACTTAATTATAAATAGAATTACTCAACTACAGTGTTGAGTGATGCGTCGTGTACTAGTATATAATAGTAATTTGAATTTCAAAACTAGTATTATTTCGTGAGTGTTGTATTAATTATTATACATTTATATACTACGTTCGAAGTATGGTTTTCATTTATTTGCAAAAACATTGCTTGAACTAACGTACTAAATATTATTTAAAGTATCAAATTTTTTGTAGAAAATAATTTTAAGGGTTTATTTTAGTTTTCATTAGCATCAAATATATTTTAATATTAACTTATTCAATGGTTTTAACTTTTAATGTACCTACTAAATGTCTAAATATCGAAATGAAAAAATAAAAAGACATGACTTTAAAGCAGTGGCGTATCCAGGGGGGGGGCTGAGGGGGGGCCCCCCCCCCCCCCCCGAAATTTCAGGAAATCTTAAATTATTACTTATAAAATAATATAAAATACATGGTACTATACGGCAATACGGCTATTTTTTTTATAGTATTACGTTCATAACCAAGCAATATCACAAAGACACAAAACGTGTATAACGTCATGCCTGTCAGTATCGATATTATCAATTATCATTTATCATATTTACACATATCTATGTAATATGTATTTACATTGTTATCATTCTTAAATAACGACTATATCGAGGTTAGGACGGTTAGGTTCTTATTTTCTTGTATCATCGCGTAAACATAACATAACTTAAGTGTAACACTTGTTTTTGTAACACCTTACCTTTTTGACTTTTTATTTATTTAAAGTTTTGCTATTTAATAAATAAATAAAATTAATTGTTGGCACACGGTTTTAAAAATGAGTGATAAAAAACCAAAACGTAAACAAGGTAACTTGGATAGCTTCTTCAG